CGACTTGATTTGCTGGGTGGGAGTTCACTCTCAGACTCCGACAAGGATTCTGAAGCATTGGTCTTTCTTTTTTTCTTTGGTGGTGGTAATGTGGGTGGAGAGGTCAGGCCTGATGTCAATAGAAAATAATTCATTAATCCTTATAAAAAAACTATAACTAGAACTGTCCAATAGGGACAAATACCCCCGCTGGGTTCTTCAGAGTAGGTGCCAATTCAGAAATATTTTATGGATCTAGTGAGAGGTGTTCACTATTGTCTAATAAAGTGCCCCGCCACAGCATGATACGCCCATCAAATATTGTTCAATAATCATAAATTGGTTAGGGTGCAAGAAAATCAAGTGACCTTGATTAACAGATTGACACAGATTTCAATGATCTAATTTCCATTTCTTATTATGTTTAAAATATTGTACATACATCTCTAAAAGACTTACAGTGTAGGGATTAATTAAAACAAATAATACATCATATATAATTCTAATTAAACTGGCTGTGTTAGAGCTTAACAAATATCCATCTGCAGCTTTAAATTGTTTATTGCATATTTTATGAAATAATGGAAATGCTACAGTCTAATAAAAAAAAATCAAAAATTAATTATTCTTTAGACTATAAAATTCTAAGTGAGACATGACTGCAATTTGTTGCAAATATATAAAAATTGAAATGTAATTTTTTTTTCAATGAACACATGTATAATTAATTTTAATTATATTATACAATACTAATTCAGTTTCAATCATACACTAAAACATCAATTTGTTTTAATTACATTACACCAATTGAAAGATCTTTATCTGAACTACAGCCATCAAGAACTCTTAATTAACACAAGCAACTATAAGGCCATTTCTTTTTGCCCAACTCCCAAGAGATAAATTAAGATAACACTGCATCAGATCAGATCTAGAGATGCTCTTGCCAGTTAACTCCCGACAATGAACTCATTAATTCTCTCTAATTTGACATGCACATTTCTGCTATCAAAAATTCTCCTTGACCAGTGCTTGATAATTATGCCCATGGGACAAACTGAATTCCTCTCAAATCATTAACATTTGTTACAGAATCTGCTGTAAAGTATATGATGAAAAAATAAATTTTTACTTCATTTAGCATTTTTTTAATAAGGATACAACTATATTTTAACATTTTTTAGGATTATGAAATTTAAAATTTTAAAGACTGTTTTTTTTTTTTTAAAAATCACTTAAATTAAAGGTCACAGTGACCTTGAAATAGGTCGTGACACACAGTCTTCACGAAAACTCACTGGTCCGAAGACCGAGGCCAGTGAATTTTGATGTCGGGTCAGTGAAAATCAAAATTCAAGAAGTCCGATGGGCTTTTTGATTATAAAAATCATATACAGTCAAAATTTATTTCAACTGACTTACTTGCGTAATTTCATTAATATGTAAAATAAAAAGAAAAAACGTGTTGTTGAATCGTATAACCCTATTATAACATGGATGTATTACGTAACAACCGGAACACTAGTACGTAAAATGTGCAAAGTTCCAACGAACAACTTACCGAAACCCGTCAAAGGGTGAAAAATGGCGGCATTACAAAAGTTGAAGTACGTAAACATTTATAAATTTACAGTTATGAAAATGTATTTATTTTATGTTTTAAGAAAGGGGCCAGTAAAAATTTTGGTGGGCTAGTAAATTTTGAAAGTTCACTGGTCCGACTGGCCAGTTCGCTTGAAAAGTTTTCGTGAAGACTGGACACACCGTCTACCCAAGATGCATAAATTGTCCAAGTTTGATGATTGTAAGTCTAATAGTTTTCTAGTTATGAGCCAAACAAAATCACAAAAGAAAAAAGAAACAAGAGGCCCATGGGCCACATCGCTCACCTGAGAAGCTTTGACCATTCTGTTCTTTACCAGATTTCCCCCTTGTTATACATAATGCATCCCCACCCTACCCCCCTGATCATAATTTAGACAATTTGAAATCTACACTTCCCCATGATCCTTCCATGGGCACATATGTTTCAGCTTTTTTGGCCCAGTGGTTCCTGAGAAGAAGATTTTCAAAGATTTTTCCTATATATTTCTATGTAAAACTTTGATTCCCTATAATGGCCCTGCCCTTCCCCCGGGGGTCATGATTCCTACTATTTAGAATTTACACTATGCTTCCACATAAGCTTCACTTTTTAAGGCCCAGTGGTTCTTGAGAAGAAGATTTTCAAAGATTTTTCCTATATATTCAATATAAAACTTTGATTCCCCATTGTGGCCCCGCCCTTCCCCCGGGGGTCATTATTTGAACAATTTAGAATCTACATTATACCAGGATGCTTCCACATAAGTTTCAGCTTTTCTGGCCCAGTGGTTCTTGAGAAGAAGATTTTCAAAGATTTTTCCTATATATATCTATGTAAAACTTTGATTCCCCATTGTGGCCCCGCCCTTCCCCCGGGGGTCATGATGTGAACAATTTAGAATCTACACTATACCAGGATGCTTCCCCATAAGTTTCAGCTTTTCTGGCCCAGTGGTTCTTGAGAAGAAGATTTTCAAAGATTTTTCCTATATATTTCTATGTAAAACTTTGATTCCCATTGTTGCCCCGCCCTTCCCCTGGGGGTCATGATGTAAACAATTTAGAATCTACACTATACCAGGATGCTTCCACATAAGTTTCAGCTTTTCTGGCTCAGCGGTTCTTGAGAAGAAGATTTTCAAAGATTTTTCCTATATATTTCTATGTAAAACTTTGATTTCCCATTGTGGCCCCGCCCTTCCCCCGGGGGTCATGATTTGAACAATTTAGAATCTACACTACCCCAGGATGCTTCCACATAAGTTTCAGCTTTACTGGCCCAGTGGTTCTTGAGAAGAAGATTTTTTAATGACCCAACCCTATTTTTGTCTTTTCTTGAATATCTCCCCTTGCGAGGGGATATGTCCCTTCATTTTAACAATTTAAATTCCCCTTCACCCAAGGATGCTTTGTACCAAGTTTGGTCAAAATTGGCCCAGTGGTTCTTGAGAAGAAGTCGAAAATGTGAAAAGTTTACAGACGGACAGACAGACGGACAGACGGACGGACAGACAGACGGACGACGGACAAAATGTGATCAGAAAAGCTCACTTGAGCCTTCGGCTCAGGTGAGCTAAAAATGCCTGTAAAATGCAGAAAAATCATCCAATCATCAGAGTTCTTGAAATCTTTTGGTCCTGTCGGCAAAACCGATAAAAACAACCAAGGACCGATTACTTTCCGTTCTGTGTCAGTCCAAATGACCGGACGGTGTTGACAGAGGAACTTGCGAAAATCCGACTAAATTTTGTACAAATTCCCTATAATCGATCGATCGAATCTTTCAAACTCTTTTTCTGCATGTTGTAATGGCTTCTCCACTAATACAAGTGCAAATTTAGAGACAATGTTCTATTGTTAAAATGATAAATGTCCTATGGACCCGGTTTAATAATAGGATTTGTTCCGTATACTCACTATGTCGCAAAATAAACACAGGCAATAACTCGAACTCAATACATTTACTACGAAGATTCCAGAGAGTTTCGAATGCAAACATGGCGTGTAAATTTGAAGCGAGAAAAAACGGGAAGAAAATTAGTTGAATTTGCGTCTTTATTTGGATCATAATTTAGGTTTAAAGACATACGCGACCTAAAAAAGGTTTGTTGTAATTAATTTTTAAGTTATTTCCAGTGCATATCCTTTTGTATTCTTCAAATTCGTTTCGGAGCAATTCTGTAATTATTTGCTACATTGCGAGTATAACTGTTATGAGGACTTGTTCCGAGACACAGATTATTCTAACTTGCGCCAAACTATTGGTAAACTGTTAAAACAAGTTTGTTGACGGCGCTAGGGTAAGAAGTGTGCAGTGTTTATATAGACGCCGTGTTTATTGATAATAAAATTTCATTACAATTTTTTTCACGTTAAAATTATTGAATTTATTTTGGACTAGTGATGGGGAATCGGAAAAAAATCAGAATCGATTATCGGTAATAATCGGCTGGGCATAATCGATTAATAATCGATTATAATCGAAATTTTGAACTTTAATAAAATTAATATAGAAAAGTTGAAACTTATTCAGATTTCTGTCAGACTTTTACAAAAAAAAAAAACATTTACTTACCCTGGTACATAAAATATTCAAAAATGTTAATTGAACTTTCTTTTATAAAAAGTGGAAAATAATATTTTGTTTACTTTAAACAATATGGGACTATATAAGACTATTGAAACAGAATGGGAATTTATTTTATTTTTTTTTTTATAAAGTCCATGCAATGGGTATTTTACTGATATTAGTCCCACCTTTCATTTAATACATGTATATTTTTCTTAAAATTAGTTTTGATTAGTTAAAATAATAAAATTGCAAGTCTTAAAAGTAATTATCCAGAAGTTAGACTTGTATTTATGATAATAATTACGTTTAAAGATTGACTAGATTAATTATGTTTTCCTTTGTATAGTAAAACCTTGCAATATTAGCGTTTCCTGGTATTAGTCTAACCCCATATTTAATCATGGCGGTAAAAGTATCCAAAAAACACGGAATCCTTCTATGTTTTCAACGTTCATCACTACTTTTATGCTCTTTGCACTTGGATTTGGTAATAAAATTAAAGTATGACAATTTTATTTTTTGTTAGCGATGTCGGCGACATTTATTTTATAATCGATTAGTAGCATCGAAGAGCTTCTAACGACCGACAATCGATTGTCGGCGACAATCGTTCCATCACTATTTTGGACTGATAGAAATCTGTCTGGAATGACAAACTTCACATGGCAGTCGGTCCAAATGACTGACAGCGAAAAAAAGATTTCAAGAACTCTGAATCATGATGAAAATCCCAGGTGCACACCTTCATATGGTGAATAACAAGTGTATTAATTTTCAGACAAATCCATCCAATAGTTTCTGAGAAACGGTCCGGACAAAATCTTGTCTACAGACAGACGGACAGACGGACATGGTGATTCCAATATACCCCCCTAAACTTCGTTTGCGGGGGTATAACAAATCCTACACCCAATCTTTTCCATATTTTTTTTTATATACACATCAAAGAATTTGAACAAAAAAAAAAAAGCAAAAAAAGTTCAAGTTAGTTTTACTTTAAAAAAAAAAACAAAAAACAAATGAACAGATTATGGTTGCTTAAAAGGGGATGATGAACATTTATTCCAGAAGTCATTAAGATTTATTTTTAGGAAATCTTTACCTGCCGCTGATCTCCTTGTGACTCTGACCTCTGTGACACTCTCTGCCTCACTATCCCCCATCGAGCCCTCGCTCTCCTCCGATAGGGAGGTGTCTTTTGTTGCTCTCTGAAATGATACTTTATTTTCAGTTTTCTTAAACTTTTTCATTACATGGTTATTCAATGAAAAAATTTTACCATTTCATTGAAAAAGTACGTAAGGGTTGCCCGCAACCCTGTGTCTCGCCTGCTGTCGCTGTGGTTAGTAAGAAATGATTGTCTGATAAACTGAAGCATTTATTGACATTTCAGAAGGAATAACTCAAAAAGTGGATCGAGTCATTTTGCTGGTTTTTAAAGAGATATTGTCATGGACTTAATAAGAACTGTAAAACGTTTCTATCTGGACTGATTATAGGTATATTTTATATGGATTTAATATATAACTTTTGCATACTGATGAACACAACATTTTCCTCTTAGTCAATGTGTAATGCACTGCATATGCCAACTGGTAAACAGAAAAGTAGGTAGGATCCAAATGCATCATGTAGGTTAAATATCTTCTGTACAGTTTAAAATTTCCATATTTCATATTATTCACAAGAGTAGGTAGGATCCAAATGCATCATGTAGGTTAAATATCTTCTGTACAGTTTAAAATTTCCATATTTCATATTATTCACAAGAGATAGATTGTTTTTTGTCCACTTTAAGTTTCTCCGAATAACTGCTGGAAATACTATGTACACTTTAAAAACACTGTATCATATGTTTGTGTTAGTAGTTCATAGCAAACCACAATGGTTTACACAACGTGTTATGAGTCGCAATAATTTGAACTTGCATTTTGAAATCAAATCCACTGTATATGTATCAAGTCATTCATGCAGAAAATGTAGGTGAAGATTACCTAATTATGGTACTGATATTGTTGGTTACCTATGATGTGTAGACTGACAAATTATCATGCCACTATAAGTTATAGTTGCTGAGATATGGACCTCCACCATAAATTTATGCAAAGTCACTCATGCGGAAAAATGTAGGTCAAGATGACCTAATTCTGGTACAGGCGTTTGTGGTTACCCATGATGTATCCACTGACTAACTATCATGCCACTATAAGTTATAGTTGCTGAAATATGAACCTCCATTATCAATTTAACCAAAGTCATTCATGCAGAAAAATGTAGGTCAAAATGACCTAATTCTGGTACTGATGTTTGTGGTTACCCATGATGTATCCACTGACTAACTATCATGCCACTATAAGTTATAGTTGCTGAAATATGAACCTCCATTATCAATTTAACCAAAGTCATTCATGCAGAAAAATGTAGGTCAAAATGACCTAATTCTGGTACTGATGTTTGTGGTTACCCATGATGTATCCACTGACTAACTATCATGCCACTATAAGTTATAGTTGCTGAAATATGAACCTCCATTATCAATTTAACCAAAGTCATTCATGCAGAAAAATGTAGGTCAAAATGACCTAATTCTGGTACTGATGTTGTTGGTTACTTATAACCTGTACAATGACAAATCATCATGCCATTATAAGTTATAGATGCTGAGATATGGACCTCCACCAAAAATTTAACCAAAGTCACTCATGCAGAAAAATGTAGGTCAAGATGACCTAATTCTGGTACTGACGTTTGTGGTTACCCATGATGTATCCACTGACTAATTATCATATCCCTATAACTTATAGTTGCTGGAATATAGGTCTTCACCATAAATTATCATGAAAAAACTAAGTCCAACTTAAGGAAAAAATACGGAAAAATTTGAATTTTTTTTTTCAAAATCATACTTGGGATATAAATTTTTATCCATACTGAATATTGTGTCCAAATTTCAAGAAGACTGAATAAAATTTGAGAAAGTTATTGCAGTTTATAAAACTTTGACATTTGGGTTAACCAAAAGTTGGACGCCGACGACGACGACGACGACGACGGAATCTATGGTCGCTATGTCTCGCTTCGCGACATTCGTCGCAGGCGAGACAATAATAAGAATGCCATACACATGATACACAAGTCACTCATTTGTACAATTCCCAAAGTTAATTTTGTTATATTTCAGGATTCAATTGCATTTGTACTTAAACACTGAATGTTCTCTATTTTTTTACTTAATTGCAAATACTGAAATGACTTTGAGTTTGATGAAACAAGTTGAAAGCGATTGGAATTTTGTGTGTATGTGTGATGACATCATGCAAAGTCAAAATATGAACAACGGATCATTTCTATAGGAAATAGTAGTAGAACAAAGTATTTGAAGCAGACTATTGTGGAACTCTTCTGCATCGGAGGTTTAAACGAATGTGATATTTCTATGAAAAATCGACAACTTTATGTTTTGTTGGATTTAAACCTTTTAAAGGTAAGAAACGAAAGTTAGTGATAGAGACTTAAAAGGATGTCCAATGGAAAAAGTTGAAGTGGGCTGCTAATTCATTTAAGCCAGTATTGATTGAAACAAGCAGTTGAAGTCCGGGCAAAAAAGCCCTAATCACATTGAGTTACATTGATCTGAGATCAGGTCCAGTACAATCACTAGATTTAGCTACGTAGGTAGAATTACCTATGTAGCTTTATTTACCTACCTCAGGTAGCTTTATTTAGCTATTTCAATGTAACTTTTCAAAAGTTTTCTTTTTATTAAAAAGAGACAAAAAATCACAAATAAATGACTATTGATATTTATGCTAGGGAGGCTTAAAAAAAACAATCCAAAGCAGATATAGTTTATACATTGCTGCATTTGAAAAATTTAGAGCAAAACATGTAATTCCATTGCTTGGTTAACTGTCCTCTCTCATACATGCGGTGAGGCATGGCTGAGTATGATTACTTCACATTGTGCTGAATAATTACCGACCTATTATCGTGTTAACCAGAACTGGACTTCTTTGTCATTTCATTCAAGGAGTAACTGTTCTAACTGTCATACATAGCCCCAAAACTTTAAGAACTTTGATTGTAATTGCGCTGAAAAAGACATTTTTCCAAGCGGGATTTTTTCATGAATTGTTTTAAGATGATTTCAAAGTTGAAAATGATCACTGCATCAAAATATTTTCTGCACATCCTGAGAAAAATGCTTTTTATAGAAATAAATTGATTTGGTAGGTAAATAAAGCTACCTCAGGTGGGTAAATAAAGCTACGTAGGTAAATCAAGCTACGTAGCTAAATCTAGTGATTGTATCAGACCTGGAAATGTCGAGCCGGACACCAGACCTAAATTTTTAGTCCCTTCGACATCTCCGTGAGATTATAGCGACACCAGCTGGTATCGCTGAATTTCAACTTTTCATTAGCTCTGTGCTCTGACTTTCCCCAGCACAAGTCACAATATGAAAGCAGGCGTTAGACTTCAGAGTATGAGGAATCTCAGAAAGCAAATCTAAAGAATGAGAAACTAATTAATTGTAATGTTAAATTGACCTGATACCTGTTTGCTATCCTGAAATGTTATTTCACACTATGACAAAAGAAAAACTAGCATATACAATATTAGGAAATACATTTATTTTTAATGGAAAATCAAATTTTAAAAATTGTGCAAGCTAAGTGAATTTTTTTTCTTCCAACAACTCTTTTCAAAAAGCTACCTAGATTTAAGAGTTGGAGTGCGATTTACCTTTCGTTTTGTCATTTCCAAGATAATTCTATCTATATCTGCATATCAACAATTCCTTCAAATCATCAAAATTATGGCATTTTCTTTTTCATTTATTTAATAACGATAATTCCGCCGATAATCTAGCTTCCGCTATAAACTGCGCCCTCTATTACTGTCATCCGAGCCCGATGCAATTTTAAATATTGCATGAAACAGAATATGGTTGCTTTCAAGGCTGTAAACGTTTACAAGACTTTTTAATCAAATTAAGAAAAATTTATAAAAAGTTTTTTAATGTAAGAAATAATTCTTAGTTCGAAATATCATTCAGATTGATCATTTAATTTATTTCACTTATTAAAATAAAAAAGTTTTTAGCCTCCAGACTATATTCATATTTTACTTGAGAGAGACACTGCAATTTTTAAAAAAATATAATGTATTTAATTTGATTCTTCAATTTTTTTTATCCCTATAAAAATTAGATTTTAACATAGGCCTAACATTTGACCTCTAAATTTATATTTTTCCGGAGATCACGTATTCGGTTTCAAAATTACAGTGTTTTTGCAAGCATGGCAGAGGAAAAGGGGTGACCAAAATTGAGAACAAGAAGCCAAACGAAGAAAAAAATAGTGACATTGTGGTGTTCTTAAGTGTGAAAAGTTTTATTCTCATACGGTTTACTTGTGGCATATGTAATAAAGGTTCACATGTGCAATGGACTACGACGATCCGTATGAGAGTCTACCAAGTACCTCCACTACCACAACGCATATGTTAGCCGGATCGGCAGCTGGTGTCTTAGAACATAGTGTTATGTACCCTGTGGACTGTGTCAAGGTGTGTGTTACAGTGAGATACGGGTCTAGAAGCAAGCAAATGGCTCGTCTTTCTCACAGCATTTGTTTTCTATGTAATGTTGCATAATACGGTAATATTGCGTAACCACAGGAGTCTGAAGTTTTTATCGTAAAAAAAAAAAAATCCGGAAAAAAATTTTCCTACCCCTAACTAAAAAAACCCCAGGATGGCAACGTGTTTTGGGGGGACCTACCTAAACAAATAAATCTGGGCTTGGTCGGAAAAATCTCGAAACTAATTCAGTATCCGGAGTTTTTATGCTATTTATTCAAGTTAAGAAATCAAATCTACTTGACGACTACGGGCTGTTCATGGCCTTTTTTCCAGTTTGACAGGTCATCCTGGACTCCATGCCACTAAACCGGAAGTGAACTCCGAGGTGAATATATGACGTAATTGAAGAAAAGAACCAAAAAAATGCATGTAAAACTTCATGTCCAATTTTATGTTACCATACGTGATCAATAAAAAGATATATTTTTCAAACAAAATAATGCTTTATAAGGGCGCTAAGTCTAACTGTTTGGCTCTTTGTCGACATGGCTTTTCAGTGATTTAAATTTGGCGCTTGTAAAAACTGAATTATCTGTCCTTGGTACACATCGTCGTACAAGTAAGAAAAAGAATAAATAACTTTTTAAAGTTCTCTTAAATATATTTAAAATAACTGAATAAAATTACGTTGAACAATTATTTATTTTATTTCATTTGAACAAGTTTTTATAAACGTCAAATATACACTGCGAGATTCTCTTCCGGTTTAGTGGCATGGAGTCCAGGATGAGCTGTCAAAGTGGAAAAGAGGCTAGGAACGGCCCGTAGTCGTCAAGCAGATTGAATTTTTCACATTAAATAAATAACAAAAACGCTCCGGAAACTGAATTAGTCGCGAGATTTTTCTGACCAAGCCCAGATCTATTTGTTTAGGTGGGTCCCCCCCAAAACACGTTGCCATCCTGGGGTTTTTTTAGTTAAGGGTAGGAAATTTTTTTTCCGGATTTTTTTTTTTTTTACGATAAAAACTTCAGACTCCTGTGGCGTAACGGCTCTTCCTATGGGCAGGTTGGGCACACCCCCCCAAATGGTCATTTAACCCCCGTTTGGTGGTCAATCGCCCATATCGGCGTCTTTGATTACCTACCAAATGGGAGAGAAAAATCGTTTTGTTCAGTTCTCTGGAATGATGTGAAATGGCGCATAATTTCAACTCATGGGGAATAAAATATAGATATTTTTCTAAACTTTGAACGAAAAAAATCAGAATTTCAACGCGGACTATTTTGCGCAGTGTCGTTCAAATATTTGACATAATCGTCACCTATGTAAAAATTCCCTCCATCTCGCGCGTACTTGCACCTATCAATCGTGTTTATCGCTTCATATTTCTGCCATCCGGGCAACCAATCAATTATCTTAACCAATTAAAATTGACGACCTTTTCCGAACTTGGGTCAAAAGACTGATTTAACTACGGAGGCCTATTAGTGTCAATTTTCAAAAAGTAAAATAAGAGGAAGGGTAAGAATTCGCTTTTATTTCTTTCATTTCGTATGCAATGGCTTTATTTTTTACAAAAATATGATATGCAGTGAATTCATGATAAAACAATCGCTCGAAAACTATAATCTTGGAATAAAAACAAGAATAATTGTAAATGTCACTTTGTAAAACTTTTATTCAAAAATATTTAATAAATATAGTAGATACATCATAGATATGCATACTAAACCACAAAGGGTCGCACAGAAATCGTAACTTCATCCTAAAAGAAAAAAAAGAATAAATGTTACATTCAAATGTAGAAAAAAATGAATATTATAGCAATAAGTGCCCACCATACGAATAAGATACGAGGAGCTCGTGTTTAACGGGATTTTATAGAGATTTATATGACGCATATTAAAAGATCATTTGAAAAGTTACTTATCTAGACTAACACCTCTTGTTTGAATATATTTTTTACCGAACTTTACACAACAAAATAATTTTTCGTATTGTTTGAGCAAATAGTTCGGCCGTCACGAACAACTGTGGGTTTTGATTTTACGAAGTTCCAAAGAAATTCCACATGGAAAATTGACTAAATTGCATTAAATGCGCGAGGAATATGTTAATTAAAATTCCCCAATGCCTAATTATTAAATGCGCTTTCGCTTTATTAATAAAAATTGGATTTGAATAAAAAAGACCACCATTTGGTAGGTAAAAAAGACGCCGATATGGGCGATTGACCACCAAATGGTGGTTAAATGACCATTTGGGGGTGTGTGCCCAACCTGATGGGTGTGTTAAATTTATTGGTTGAAAAATTTCAACGTAAAGCTACAAATGAGCAGGAGACGAGAAAATGTGATGGGCCAGTATGAGTTCAAATCTGCCCCCCCCCCCCTGAATCTCTAGTCAGGTGCTCTACCAGTTGAGATACCTGGCTACTGGTGTTTAAAAATATAACCACGACTTTATTTTTATATGTTGATTAGTTTGAAATTGCATAAACATATTGGTGTCCCATGATATCATAAGATATGAAGTATTAGATATCAATATCAGTGTAACTGACAAAAGATTTTTTTTTTCTGACAAAAGATTTACCTCAAGCTGTATTTTTAAAGTCACAGACTTCTTATGTTAAATTTTACCTACGTCTACTCTTGTTCTAAACGTGCTTCCTTTATTCCAGACACGTATGCAATCATTGGTGCCGGACCCAAAGGCTGACTACCGCAGTGTGGTGGATGCGTTTAACACCATTATTCGCCATGAGGGGTTACTGAGAACAATGAAGGGAGCTCCAATAGTTGTGCTGGGAGCAGGACCAGCACATGCATTCTACTTTGCTTGTTATGAATATCTTAAAAAAACTCTTAGTGGGGGTCAGAAGGGAAACCATATTGCTCATGGTAGGTGTTAAAGATAGTAATTGAAATGAAATCATGGTAATAATATACATGTACATTTAGTAGTTAATTGCGAAGATTTTTAGAATGCAATTCAAACATGCATAATATCAATGGCAGTAAAACTAGAAACTGACCAACATGACCAAAGTTCTGAATTTTAGACAGGATTGTTGTGAAGTTTTGTGATGGGTCAAAATGGCCATTTTCAGAGTTCAGGTAGACGGATCTAGAATCCTTTTATTAGCTCACCTGAGCTGAAGGCTCAAGTGAGCTTTTCTGATCACATTTTATCCGTCGTCCGTTCGTCCGTCTGTAAACTTTTCACATTTTCGACTTCTTCTCAAGAACCAATGGGCCAATTTTAACCAAACTTGGTACAAAGCCTTAGGGCTGTATCAATATATTGATATATCGATACGTATCGATATTCAAGAAAAATATTGTATCGAAAACCGTTTTTCTTCTAATTCTGTTAAAAAGATGGGAATTTCAATCACTAAAGATTATATTTCACTTTTCTGAAATAAAACTGTTCAATAATTATATAATTTGTAAGGAAATAACACAGTTATTTTAATTACATGTATTACAAAATACAAAGAGAATTTTATTTGAACATATTGATTTTGCTGTCATTAAAAGTTTTAATTTGAAGTATTATTTGTAATGACAATGAGACAAGAACTTTAAAATGGGTAATAAAATACCTAATTGTTATGAAATTTATGCATTAAAATAATTTATAAACCTTTTCTGATGGATTTGTTTTAGAATCCAATATATCGTATATCGCTTTAAAAAATATTGTATCGTATCGTATCGAAATTTTTGGCTCAATACACAGCCCTACAAAGCATCCTTAGGTGAAGGGGAGTTTAAATTGTTAAAATGAATGGCCAAGTCCCCTTACAAGGGGAGATAATCAAGAAAAGACAAAAATAGGGTGGGGTCATTAAAAATCTTCTTCTCAAGAACCACTGGGCCAGGAAAGCTGAAACTTATGTGGAAGCATCCTTGGGTAGAGTAGATATTAAATTGTTAAAACCATGACCCTTGGGTTGGGCGTGGCCACAATAGGGAATTCAAGTTTTACATAGAAATGTATAGAACAAATCAATAAAATCTTCTTCTCAAAAACCACTGGGCCAGGAAAGCTGAAACTTATGTGAAAGCATCCTGAGGTAGAGTATTAGGAAAAATCTTTTAAGAATCTTTTTCTCAAAAACCACTGGGCCAGGAAAGCTAAAACTTATGTGGAAGCATCCTGGGGTAGTGTAGATATTAAATTGTTAAAATCATGACCCCCGGCGGTAGGGCGGGGCCACAATAGGGAATATAAGTTTTACATAGAAATATATAGAACAAATCTTTTAAAATCTTCTTCTCAAGAACCACTGGGCCAGGAAAGCTGAAACTTATGTGGAAGCATCCTTAGGTAGAGTAGATATTAAATTGTTAAAATCATGACCCCCGGGGGTACGGGCGGGGCCACAATAGGGAATATAAGTTTTACATAGAAATATATAGAACGAATCTTTAAAAATCTTCTTCTCAAAAACCACTGGGCCAGGAAAGCTGAAACTTATGTGAAAGCATCCTGAGGTAGAGTATTAGGAAAAATCTTTTAAGAATCTTTTTCTCAAAAACCACTGGGCCAGGAAAGCTAAAACTTATGTGGAAGCATCCTGGGGTAGTGTAGATATTAAATTGTTAAAATCATGACCCCCGGCGGTAGGGCGGGGCCACAATAGGGAATATAAGTTTTACATAGAAATATATAGAACAAATCTTTTAAAATCTTCTTCTCAAGAACCACTGGGCCAGGAAAGCTGAAACTTATGTGGAAGCATCCTTGGGTAGTGTAGATATTAAATTGTTAAAATCATGACCCCCGGGGGCAGGGCGGGGCCACAATAGGGAATCCAAGTTTTACATAGATATATTTAGGAAAAATCTTTTAAGAATCTTTTTCTCAAAAACCACTGGTCCAGGAAAGCTGAAACTTATGTGAAAGCATCCTTGGGTAGTGTAGATTCTAAAGTATTAAAATCATGAAAGGGGAGGGGGTAGGGGGGGCATGATAGGTATAGCAAGAGGGGAAATCTGGTAAAGAACTTCATCACCCAAGTTACTCAGGTGAGCGATGTGGCCCATGGGCCTCTTGTTTTTATTGCAATGGCAACCATTCATGTAAATTACTAGTACTTGAATCTGATTCATCAATGAACATATTATTACTGGTGCATTGTCACTAGGGCTCATGGTCACTCTAAATCAGTCACAAAAATGTGCCTTGATGCAAGATCAATGAAATGGTAATTATGTTTTAAAATGGAGACAGAGACATGTATGTCAAAAGGTTCATTGTTTAGGAATTGAAAACCCTACATTAAATACACTTATACATACCATACTTGATTATTGTAAGTATTACATCCAAGAACATGAATTGAAATTGCATTCAGATCTATCATCATGATCATTTATGCATACTTTTTACTGCATATGCATTCATTATGGATCTTTATTTTCAAGATAAACATATAGGTTTAAAAATTTTGGAGATCTTGTTTTCTACCTGAAGAAATACTTATTATTTCTTTTTATATGCCAGGTACAATGCCAAACTCTAGTTTGTGTGCTACAAAATATCTGACACTAATGAGTCCTGTATTTTCCAGCTGAATAACTAAATGCTTAATAAGATTTGATAATCTTAGTGAGACTTGGTCTCATAGATGTTTATTTATAAAGGAGAGTTGCACTACCCTATTTAATCTGTCATCACTGTAATGTTATTCTGTGTTATATATTTTTAGGTGTAGCTGGATCAGTGGCAACACTGCTTCATGATTCTGTTATGGTTCCTGTTGATGGTAAGTCTAAGATTTATTTCCCTTGACTTAAAATTTACAAACTAGATTTCTGCTATATCAAAAGGAGTACTTTTACAGTACAGCGTTTCAAATTTTAAATGCTTATATTAGTTGTAGTTTTATTAAAGACCTGTAATAACTCACATGTAATGTAATCACTCAAGAAGTTCATTTTCCTCCTAAAATTTTACCTTTTTATCAGAGAGTTTCATTTTAAATAGGTGATGGTACATTCTACCTCTTGTTTATTGTAGATTACTAGTATTTCCAGGGTTCGACACTAACTTTTTTACCTTGGTGGACCGCAGGTCCACTTGTCAAAAATTATTGGTGGACCTTCTCAATATCTGGTGGACCTTTATAAATGTTTGAATTAATGAATGAATCATTACATGAGGCATTAATTAAAGCTAACTTTAATACATACCGATTCCAGTCAGACTAACAAAGCATAAATCTAACCAGTCAACAGAATCAAATCAATATTAGGGACTAGTCAGATTTTTTTTTTCAGAAATATTGTTGAACATAAAAAAACAAAACATATTAAACTACAAACCAAAATTTTTTTTTTTTAATTATTATCATTAAGTTACAATGGTGAAAACCTAAAACCTGCATTTATTTTGCTTCCAAAGGTAGATTAAATTTAAAATTCCAATTATTAATTAATTTGTTCAAATATTAAACAAGTGAATTTTTCATGTATTTATGGCTAGATCTTTTTTTCATACTACGATGCAAAACTGATAGAAACATGTATGTATATTTATCAATTATTTTTCTAAATCTAATTTTATTATTTATTCAAATAAGTAGTGATATAATATATATCTAGAAAAAATGAAACTGCAGATGAGTTCATAAAATGTAAATTACGCCTATTTGAACATCTATTTAAAAAAAAAAAGCATAAGTGCAGCTGTCAATCAATTCTAATTATCTCCAACTGTGTGCGTTCAGGCGTGAAGCGATTTTCACACCTTTCTATGCATTACGTAAACAGAGGAGAGACTGGCTAATTTGGCACGGATTTTTCATGCTTCTTATTCAAGGTCCATGTTGTATGTTCTTGCGTCGCAATATTATTGTTAATATTGGAGTTATCAATTTACCATGTAAAATATATCGAGTTGCTAGTCCCCCTGATTACCTAAAACATTATTTACATGTATATTTTTTGTAAAATACAGGTATGGAGGAATTAATAATTTGAGTTACGGATGTAAGAAAAAACCTGGAATTTCATTGTTTTTTTTAATACGGTGTTTAAATTTTAAGTGGACCGACGGTCCACCTGGTCCAGAACATTTGGTGGACCTTCCAATTTTTTGGTGGACCCGGGCCGCCGGTCCACCGTTAGTGTCGAACCCTGATTTCTTAATTCATAAGAATCTGTAAAACATATTTTTACATGTTTAATCTTACAAAATAAGCTGAAGTGTGGTCGTGGTGAAAGTAATTCAATTATATGGCAAAGTTTGACCTTGCATCTCAATTTTCAAGTGTATTCCTTGGTACAAGATATTTCTTTCGATACCAATTTTTTGACCACATTACCTTATAGATTGATCAAACTTTTGAAAAACCTTGAATAACTTTGCTTATAACTTTGAACAGTTTGTTTTAGGGATATTTCACATGTTTTTTATTGTAAACCTTTCTATCAGTACCAACATTTTTATGCGCCCGGATCGATAGATCCCGGGCGTATATTGTTTTTGTCCTGTCTGTTTGTCTGTTTGTCTGTTTATCTGTTTGTCTGTTTGTCTGTTTGTCTGTCTGTCTGTTGTCAACTTTAACCTTGGCCATAACTTTTGAACAATAAAAGATAGAGACTTCATATTTGGTATGCATACTCCACTAATAAAGTCCTTTCAAATGACATCAAGGTCAATGACCTTGTGACCTTGACTGTGACCTATATGCTAAAAATAGCTTTTTCCACTGTTTGTCATAACTTTTTAACCATAGGAGATAGGGACTTCATATTTGGTATGCTTACTCCACTAATAGAGTCCTTTCAAATGACATCAAGGTCAATGATCTTGTGACCTTGACTGTAAACTATATGCTAAAAATAGCTTTTTACACTTTTTGCCATAACTTTTGAACCATAGGAGATAGGGACTTCATATTTGGTATGCATACTCCACCGATTAAGTTCTTTCAAATGACACCATGGTCAATGACCTTTTGACCTTGACTGTGACCTATATGCTAAAAATAGCTTTTTCCACTGTTTGTCATAACTTTTGAACCATAGGAGATAGGGACTTCATATTTGGTATGCATACTCCACCGATAAAGTCCTTTCAAACGACGGCAAGGTCAATGATCTTGTGACCTTGACTGTGACCTATATGCTAAAAATAGCTCTTTACACTTTTTGCCATAACTTTTGAACCATAGGAGATAGGGACTTCATATTTGGTATGCATACTCCACTGATTAAGTTCTTTCGAATGACACCATGATCAATGACCTTGTTACCTTGACTGTGATCAATATGCTAAAAATAGATTTTTTGAACTTTGTTGCCGCCGGGCGCAGAGTGTTTCACAAACACATCTTGTTGACCTCATGAAGTTGACCTTTGAGTTTTGCTTTCTTTTAAAAAACTATGATTTTGGCCACGATTTTTAAACAATAAGCATGATTAGAGCTAGGGCTTTCATAATTCACATGACATTGTGTATTTTTGTGACAAGACCATTCTTTGGGCACCAATATTTTTTACCTTGGAGATTGACCAATACTAGTATTTAAAAAACTTAAACTTGGCCATGAGCTACAATAGGGGAGGCAGCAGTGTTTTACAATTACATCTTGTTTTTCAGTGGTAAAGCAAAGAATGCAGGTATTCAACAGCCCTTATACAAGCTGCAGGTCATGTGCAAAAGCCATTCTTAAGCAGGAAGGCATCTTTGCATTTTACAGAAGCTATACCACACAACTGACAATGAATATCCCTTTCCAAAGCGTGCACTTTATGACTTATGAATTCATGCAAGATATACTAAACCACGACAGAAATTATAGTCCAGTGACTCATATGGTTTCAGGCGCCGCAGCAGGTGCGGTGGCAGCCTCAGTGACTATGCCACTTGATGTATGCAAAACGCTCCTCAATACACAAGAGAGTTGCACTAGGACTCATGCATCTTACGTCAATGGCATGATATCTGCTTTTAGGACGGTTTATGAATTTCAGGGCCTGACTGGGTTTTACAGAGGCCTGACGGCTCGAGTGATATTTCAGATGCCCGCCACTGCCATCTCCTGGTCTGTGTATGAAGGGTTTAAGTACATCATCACCAAAAAGCAAGCTGTAGAAGACACTCTGCCAAAAACCCTCTCTATCCGAGCAGCCTCAGCGTCTTCTCATCCTGACTAAATGGAAATAAAAAAATTTTCTTGTTTAGGTTTTTTAAAAAAAGTCAAAAATTTAAAAAATCTGTCAAATGCCCAAGTAATATTTATTTACACATGTACCATGATGCTTACAAAAAAGAGCTTAAATTGCTTCACATACCTAGAGCTAAAAAGAAATTTATGAATCGTTGCATGCAGATAATTATGATTGAATTGAATAGATTTCACTTGATTAGCCTTTTTAAAGAATTTTAAAAAAAAGTTTTTTAAGTATTCTAAACTTTTATTCTGAATTCAGTAACTTTGATACAACAGATTTTAGTAGAAATTAAGGTGAATGGAGATGCTTGCGATAAAGTCCCCTTTTGATAAGTCAACCCAGGAATTTACCAAAATATTTAGATTACCAGTATCTATCAACTGTCTCTGGATCGGTGCTATCAAACAAAAGTATTTGTGTCTTGCTTTCAAGAAAATCCTGTGCAACATTTCAAGTGTACTGGTAGTTTGAAATAAAGAATTTTTTTTAAATTTGTGCACTTCAGAAGAGATAGAAATTAATTTTTTCTAATCATGGAAGAGAAAAAGAAGAAAAATGTAGTAATCCAAATCAAAATAAGGAGATTCTGGGAAAAAATTAAGCTCAGCTGAAAAAAAGCTTTTATCTGCATGAAAGGGAAAAAAAATCAAATAGAAGAGAATATAGAAAAAGGATCTTCAGGCAAAGGATTTCTAAAATTCAGAAAAAGGAATATTGGAAGGAAGATTTTGAAGGAAAATGTGTTATTTTCAAGTGCAAAGTTTCAGTTGGGAATCAAAGAAAATGTGAATATATTATTGTGTTGTCATTGGAAGAACCTCTGCAATGCACATTTTGTGAATTTCCTCTGGATCATGGTATGTCAGCGCGATGGACAGCTACATAACGAGATCTCAGTTTTTTTTTGTTTTTTTTTATAAAGCATTTACATATGATGGCCACATATAGAAAATAAGTTGCTTCCATGTTTCCATGTATTTGACATTACTTTGTTATTTATCAGTAAGGTATAACTAATTTATACATTATGTACCCAATACTGACAAATAGATGTACATGACCTATAGAGAAATGTTAATCATAGAATGTATCTTAACACCCTGGAATCTTTGTTAAAATGTGAAGATGTGCAAACCGTTCTGGTTGTTTATATGCATACGCAGCATCACAAATGTTTAGTAAACTCACCATGTATTAGACTTTTTTAATCAAAGGAGTCAGTATAGGAACTAGAGAGTTAAAAATTAATGGATTCATATCAATGAAATTTTGAAGTACATGTACATATGTGTAACTTTTGGAAGTGCAACATTTAAATGTACATTATGAATATAGCAAAAATCAAAAGTAATTATGATAAGATGTTTGTAATTTTGTTTGTAATTCTATTCATTCTAATTGGATTTGCATGTTTAAATTTATTTCAGAAATCTTAATGGTGCATTTTAGTTCCTTGATTAATGTCATATACATGGACACAGAGGAGGCAGTTTTCTATAATGTGGCCATATTGTTTATCTATTGCTGTGTCAGTTGCTATGGACAGCTACCCAGTGATATTTTTGTTGTGTTTGGAGTGTTTCTGTGTGAGAATTGAGAACGTTCTACACCTGAACAAATTTTGTTAATGTTTTTGTACATACCTTACATATATATTATATATATCTCCATCATGTTGAAGAAGGCAAGGATAAATTATGCATTTATTAAATTAAATCTTTTTTATACTTGGAAAAAGTGTCATGTGAGAATGGAGAACATCTACATGCATAATATAAAAAAGTCATTAGTATTTATACCTTGATGCACCTGTCATTATAGAAGCATGTCTTTAAGCCTCATACATGTACATGTATACAACTGTGTGATAATTTTTTTTTTAAAAATTGGAAAAATGGAAGCTTTTACAGATTTTAGGAAGATTTTTTTCCCCTTTAAATTATTACTGCTTTTTCAGTAGAATTTTAGAATTAGTAGGAATGCCTATAGAAAAAAAATTGTAGAAATGGAAAGGTGGGTTGGGTGAAGTCAGATTTTATATCAATATTACATGTAACAGGTTATCTTTTGAACTTGTACTTAATGAACTTAAAACCAGTTTAAATAATAACCACATCATTATCAGGATTATGCAAAATCTGAATCAGCTGTTTGTATGGACTCAAATCATCCTAATTCTTGACATTTAGATGCATCTCAAATTGGATTATGCTAAATGCATTGTGTATGCATGAACTTTAAAAATGTTTATTATGTTAATAGAAAGGAATTACAACATATGTATTTTAATATTTTCAGAAAAAATTAAAATGGTAATTTTAAATTAAATTTACTTCCATTAACATGCAAAATGTAAATAACTGATGAAAATCCAGAAGATGAAGTTCTTGTTGATTTTATTACAGTTGTGCATCAGATTCAGAATATGCCCTGATAATTATGTTCCCCAAACGGAGTTTGGGAACATATTGTTTTTACTCTGTTTCTTATTATTATGTTCCCCAAACGAAGTTGGGGAACATATTGTTTTTACTCTGTTTCTTATTATTATGTTCCCCAAACGGAGTTTGGGAACATATTGTTTTTACTCTGTTTCTTATTATGTTCCCCAAACGGAGTTTGGGAACATATTGTTTTTACTCTGTTTCTTATTATTATTTTTCTTCTTCCTGGGTACTTATTTGTCCGCGAATGATCTTGTAAACTGTTTGTCTGGTGTAGGTAAAACCTTTTTAGGGTAAGTAGACATGTTATGTAGATTTGCGGAATCAAGGTCATTTTGCGCGCACGTGCTTGCAAGAGCGCGCACGTGCAACATGTAAAATGACCAATATAATTGATATAGCCGTAACTTTTCTATTTTTTGATGAAATGTGTTGAAACTCAGAATATAAGAATATATTAGTACTATAGACAAGAGAACATGGTCAAATTATCATGAACGCACGCGCATGCACGTGCGCTTCGCTCTGATTGGCTAAAACAAAAATCTCAATATCTTATTCGTTTTTTGACGAAATACTTTGAAATTTAAAACATAGTCATGCATTAAGATATCCTACGATATGATATAAAATAATTTTCATGAAATCACGCGCATCTACGTGCGCTGCAATCTGATTGGCTAAAACTTTAAATGGCTATAACTCCCATGGTTTTCAGCCAAAGAGGATGGGATTTAGAAATAGATAGTCTTAATGGACCCCTACAAGAAGGTATGGTCATCATGCACATAAATGCACTTGTGTGCACGTGCAATGCGTATAATTACAAATGATTTAGCGTATTTTCGAATACTTTTTGATTAAATGCCTTGATATTAAGTACATTAAAATAAATTAATAGAGTAGATACAATGATATGGTCATTCCGCATATGCATGCAAGTGTGCGCACGTGCAATGCAAAAATTTGCTATATACTTGGTATACTTTAGGAAAAACGTTGTTTAATTAAGTTTAAGATGCATATAGTTTAGTTTATTTGATGAAGCTCAGAGGGAATGAGGCACTAAAATGAAGTTGGGGGAGCGTTTGGGGAACATCTGTAACGGTTCCCGTTACAATTAGCACTAGTTATTATTATTTTTTTTCTTATTTGTTCTCCGGTACTTTTTTGTCCGCGAGTGTTCTCAGAAACTGTTCACCCAACTGAGCTAAAAACTTTTTAGGGTTAATAGGTGTGTAGTGTAGGTGTGCGGAACAAAGGTCATTTTGCGCGCATACGCATGCACGTGCGTGCGCGTGAAATGAGTGAATTGACTGATATACTTAATATAGCTATATCTTTTACATTTTTTGATGAAATGATTTGAATCTCATTATATAAGGATAGATTAGTAGTGTACATAATGTGATACTGTCAAATTTGCACGAACTCACGCGCATGCACGTGCGCTTCGCTCTGATTGGCTGAAACAAAAATCTCAATATCTTCTCTGTTGTTTGACAAAATGCTTTGAAATTTAAAACATAGGCATGCTTTAGGATGTTCTACAATATGGTATATAAGAATTTTCATCAAATCACGCGCATGCACGTGCGCTGCAATCGGATTGGCTCAAAATTTAAATGGCTATAACTCCCGTGTTTTTCAACCAAACAGCATGGGATTTAGAACGTAGACAAACATAATGGACTCCTAGAAGAAGGTATAGTCAACATAAGCATACTTGCACGTGCATGAACGTGCGCTTCGCTCTGATTGGCTGAAAGAAAAATCTCAATATCTTTTTTGTTTTTTGACAAAATGCTTTGAAATTTAAAACAAAGGCATGCTTTAGGATATCCTACAATATGATATATAATAATTTTCATCAAATCACGCGCATGCACGTGCGCTGCAATCTGATCGGCTTAAACTTTAAATGGCTATAACTCCCTTGATTTTCAACCAAACAAGATGGGATTCAGAACATAGATAGATATTATAGACTCCTACAGCAGGGAATGGTCATCATGCACATGCATGCACGTGAAATGAGTAAAATTCCAAATACACTAGATTCAACATATTTTTGGATTTAATGCTGTAATATTTAGTATATTAAAATATATCAATAGTGTAGACAAGATGATATGGTCATTACGCACATGCGTTCAAATGCGCATGCGTGCAATGCTTAAATTGAATATTTCTGGTAAAACTTTGTTAAAGTCTTTAATGTATGGCGTTTGTCTTATTTAATCAAGCTTACAGGGAATAAGGCACCAAAAGGGAGTTGGGGAGCGTTTGGGGAACATCTGTAACGGTCCCCGTTACAATTAGCACTAGTTATTATTCTTTTTTCTTCTTATTTCTTCTCCGGTACTTTTTTGTCCAGAAGTGTTCTCAGAAACTGTTCACCAAACCAAGTTAAAACCTTTTTAGGGTTAGTAGGCATGTTGTGTAGATGTGCCGAACGAAGGTCATTTTGCGCGCATACGCATGCACGTGCGTGCGCGTGAAGTGAGTGAAATGACTGATATACTTAATATAGCTATAACTTTTACATTTTTTAATGAAATGGTTTGAAACTCATTATATAAAGATATATTAATAGTGTAGATAATGTGACACTGTCAAATTAGCACGAACTCACGCGCATGCACGTGCGCTTCGCTCTGATTGGCTGAAACAAAAACCTCAATATCTTTTCTGTTTTTTGACAAAACGGTATGAAATTTAAAACATAGTCATGAATATAGGATATTCTACAATATGATATAAAGAAAATTTCATGAAATCACGTGCCTGCACGTGTGCTGCAATCTGATTGGCTGAAACTTTAAATGACTACATCTCCTTTGTTTTTTGACGAGATGCTTTGAAATTTAAAACATAGTCATACATTAGGATATCCTGCAATATGATTTACAAGAAATTTCAAGAAATCACGCGCAAGCACGTGTGCTGCAATCTGATTGGCTGAAACTTTAAATGGCTATATCTCCTTTGTTTTTTGACGAAATGTTTTGAGATTTTAAACATAGTCATTCATTAGGATATCCTACAATACGATATAGAAAAAAAATCATGAAATCACGCGCATGCACGTGTGCTGCAATCTGATTGGCTGAAACTTGAAATGGCTATAATTCCCTTGTTTTTCAACCAAACAGGATGGGAATTAGAACTGAAATAGATATAAGGGACTCCTACAAGAAGGTATGGTCATCATGCACGTGCACGCACGTACGTGCATTCGAACGAGTGAAATGAAAAATACACTTGAACATGTGATTTTTAATACTTTTGGACTGAATGTTTTACTTATAGTATATTGAAATATATAGTTAGTGGAGACAAGATGATATGGTCATAACGCAAATGCTTTCACATGCGCACGGGTCCAATGCTAAAATTTGAATTTAATTGGTATCCTTCTGGGAAGACGTTGTTAAAGTTAAAAAATGCACAGAATTTGTTTTATTTAATGAAGCTTACTTGGAATATGGCACCAAAAGGGAGTTGGGGAGCGTTTGGGGAACATCTGTAACGGTTCCCGTTACAATTAGCACTAGTTAAGGTCTTCCGTCTTCACGGAAGACCTTATAGTGATTCTACTGTTTCTTATTATTCTTATTATTATTATTCTTTTTTTTGACAAAATTTTGTGCAGACGATTTCTCGAAAACTATTCAGCGGTTTTTCATGAAAATTTCACAAAATATGTGTCATTATATGAAGTTGTTACATCCGAAGAGAAATTTGGAAAATTCGCTTATGGTGCCAAGTTATGGACGATTTCCTGATTTTAAAATGCGATTTTGTCGCCCCTTTTTCTCAAAAATAGCTAAAGATATGACCTGGAGACTTATTGGAGACGATAGTTTGTCACTTTGTGGTTTGCGGAATCACCTTCTCGTGCGTCGTCAGTACTTCCGGTTGTTACGAGATGCAAATTTAAAAAAGTCGTATTTTCTAACTTTTTTGTTTTTCAGTATTTTTCATTTATTTTTGGTATGTTAATAGAAACCCTCCTTATAATGCTTACTATATAATTTGTTTGAATGTTGATAAATCTAAACTCTAGATATTAGCATTCAAAAATCTGAAGCGGGTCCAAAATGGCGGCTGTCTCTGTCAACGCCGACATTTCGCAATAGGGGTTTACGGAGGCAGCCGAGCGTTTGCTTGAACGAAAGTAACATAAGGATAAATGAAATGTAAAGGAATACTTGGATTGTCACGTCGTAGTTTCGTTGCAGTTCTGTGTCAAACTAACGTCTTCTATAATTGGTAAAAGACTAAGTGTGCAAAGGAAATTCGACACCTTATATCTTTTGTGCACCATGGAAAAACAGATCTTTAATCATGCTTATAAGTAATGCTTTTTCAAAAAAGAATATCAATTAATATTTTAAGTATAAATCTTAACAACTGTTTTTCCTATGCACACTTGTGTCATATTAAACTAATAAATAAGACAAAAATAAGATGTTTTTTGAAAGATCGCTTCATGGAGTTTATTTTAGCATTCTAGTCTCAGAGTTATTGATCAAGAATGATATCTGATTCCATGACCGCTATAGGAGGAGCCATGTTTTTTGGCGAAACATTTCAACCTTTGTCGACTTACTAATCGGGATAGTTCACTTTGGGGATACAAAGGAAACTGAAAAAAGTTAAAAATTCATAACTGTTTCACCGCTTTAGTGTTAAATGCATATATACAATATGGAATTTGTAAAATGTGTTAATATACTTTGTAAACCTTGAATAGACTATAAGAACGTTCTTTTTTTAACTTCATTGAAGATATCACACCTATTTAATAGAACATTCCAAAGAAAAGGCGCAAAGATTAACTCGTGGCGTTTATCGCTAAATTTTGAATAGTGACCTGCCTTTCATAATTTTAA